TGAACACAATGGACGGTCCCTGACTCCTTCGGGAAATGTTGTTTACTATATAACTGTTTAGCGGGTGGCCTTTAGCTTCTTTGGCATATTTCCTATGGGAGTTCCTCGCCTCTCCACCGACATATGGTCCTCCAAAGATTGTGTCGATCTCATGGATGGGGACGTTATCCGCGCGAGCCTGATGGCCTCTCTACAAATGTTGTCCATCCCTCGCTCATCCTCTTCATAGTCCCTTCTCTTTTAGGGAGATACATCTCGACGGTTGGAGGTGGCCTCCTCATGCCTAGGTGGCTGGTCACGCCTAGGTGGGGACCTATTTCTCTGTTGTGAATATTTTCGCTAATCATTTCAGGGTCTTGCCCGCCTAGGGTGCTGGGCAATGTCTCTGCTGTTTGTCATGTCATGGCTGTAAGAATGATGATACGTACAGTATTCGAAAGGGTTTGGCCTACCCCTAGGTCCCTAACCTCACCCTCAGCCTCGTCCTCTATAAGGGGCCTGTTGTGCTGATCCAATTTGTTAAGTGTTGGTTTTAGGTGTGACATTTTCGTAGGCCAATGTGGGCACAGCATTTAAGGTGGCCATGGCAAGTGCCTGCCCTGCGTTGGGGACAATCTCATTGCCAGTCTGATTCCAATGTAAATCCATCAGATGGGATGTGGGTCATCTCCCCCGTTACCTTTGTTAAGGCTAGATGCCTCTACTAGCCCTATTTCTGTGATCGATCAACTCTTCATTGATAATCTCCCGCCCCATCATTTCTAGCTATTATCATAAGTAGTCGACTCCTGATTTTGAACATCTCTCCAAAATAGGGTGTTCATGTTTAGGCCTCCTCGCAATGCGGATAGGGCCTCAAGGTCAGTAACTTGAACATAATATGTCATCTTACTGGTAAAACGAGACAAGAAGCTTTTCAAAGATTCTTCAGGCTGTTGTCTCATGTCTTGGAGGCACTAAATGGGGACCTTTCCTTCCTTGCTCACCGCAAATCTCTTCAAGAAGGTGTTCTTGAACTCTGGCCAGCTCTTAATGCTCTCGGGTAGTAGCCTGCTATACCAAATTTCAGCCACTCCATTGAGAGTTAAGTGGAAAGCTCTGCATTTTACAACGAGGGTGGCACCTCTCAGGCTCATGTGTGTCTTATAACTGTTCAAATGTTTAGGTGGGCCGCCTCTTCCATCATACTTTGGTATTTGGGCATCACATAGTAGTTAGGTACCTAGGCATTTCTCAATTCCCACGAGAAGGGTAGGTTTTCGTCATCATCATCCAAATCACAAGATCGCTGGGGTCTGTCTGAATCACAGTTTTCATTTGCCTCATACATGGGTGGTTGAGCAGAAGGGCCTGCTTGGTTCTTCACCTCTTCTTCCCCCCTTTGAGGCCTATTTCTTGGCGGGACAACACGAGGGGTATATCTTGCCTTTCCTCCGGTTGCCAAGTCTAAAGAGGTGGGGGTCGAGGCCTTCCCTAGGTGCTGAGGATTGTTGAGGCCATCTGGGCCTCAGATCCGTTGGGCTGATTCGGTCAAATACACTAACAGACCTCTGAGGCCTAGCTTCGGGTTCATATTTCGGGGAGAAGTTATCTTCCATGTTGAATTGGCCCTCGATAGGTCGGCCAGATGTATAATTGGAAGAAATGTCAACTTCCACTTCTCTTTCGAAGGGGCTGATTTCCCTGGCGTGCCTTGGAGAATGGGCTCTTTGACTTCGTACATCATCTTCTCGCTGATACTATCCCTAGGATGCATAAGGAGGGATTGGATGGCCCTTTTGGCTTTGCATTTGTCGCAATAGTTCTTGCATTGGCATTGCCAAATTTTTGTTAGTAATGCTTCTCATGTTGGCTGCTATGCTGGCTATTTCCCTGGTAAGTTGGACTGCCATCCTCATCCCACCTCGTCTGTGATGGTGGTGAGGTCAGCGTCGACCCGCTGGGGCGGTTGCTAGGGGGGACTTCGTCATTGCCTTCCCTCGTCCGCATGGGAGGAACATCACCATCTGAACTCATCTTTTTTCCAAACTAAAATCTTAAAATGAAGCTTTTGGGGCTTCCTCTTGTTTTTTTTTCAAGAACAAATCCTTTTTCAAAGAGGATGCCCGAACTATTCTCGAAAAGCTTTTTCCACGAGGTCACTCGCGGTTATATTGTGGATTCCCACATACGGCGTCAGTCCGTTGACCTCAAATTATGCTGCCAACACATGTCGGACCCACTCGTGCATGCACAAGCTAATTCTGCCACGTAATAACAGATCAACGACAGAGATCACTCCTAAATTGGACGTGGGAGAAAACTCAACGACACGAGACGTTTCCATTAGGGTTCCGACGAAATAAACAAGATACGATTGTACAATAATAACCAATCGTAATGAAATCACAGGAAAAGACTGAAACTCCACGTGCATAAGAAGAAAATAAATTGCTCTTTAGTATTAGGAGTTGTGTCATCCTTCAATGGTTACATGGAGGGGGTATTTATAGTGTTACAAACGAGATGGTGACCCTTGGATGAAATTACACATGGCCTCATCTCCTAGGCCAAAACATCTAATCCTAGCCATCCTTTTGAAATTCCTAGCTTACAATGCATTTAATGCTCTTACATCACATTGACAAGAGAAGACACGTATACTTTTACAAAGATCACATCAATCATTCCACAATAAATTCAAGACCTTTGCACATAGGCCGTCACTACCCGGGGTAGGGCCTCCAACTTGATCTACTTCAACGTGCCAACCTCGGACTGAGTAACGGGCCTCAAAATTTAGTCTAGGGCCTCGTCTTCTATGGCCGATGCTTCGGTTGGGGCGGGTCCATAGCTACAGTGGATCGGCCACAAGGCAGTACCAGTGGCGAGTCATACCAATGACAATGGCTAAAAACATGAAAAATAGGATGCTGTCCAAGCAGGCAGTCAATCCTGACTGACTGAGTGGTACGGATTTTCAACAAAATTCTGTACTTCCGAACTTAAGGATTTTGACACCCTAAACGGAACACAATTTTCACTTTTCATATTGCAACTAATATTTATTTATTTATTTACCTTCCATCCTAGATATTATTTGATAGGTTAAATAATTAAAATGAAGGAAAGACTGGTTTATTATTATACTTTCCCTAAGTTTATTTATTACCATATCAAATAAGTCTTATATGATATGATTATATTTTTACCGATTTTATTATGTATAATTTTAGGTAAGATTTAATCTAATATTGACTATTGCTTTAAGGAAAGATTGATTTAGTATAAAATTTCCTTGAGTCTTTTAATTACCATATCAAAGAAATCATATGTGATATGATTATATACTTACCGTATTTTAATGCTTGATATTTAGGTAAGCTTAATTCGTGCCTTATAACATAAGCAAGAAATTAAGGGACGAAAAACAACTTTAAGAAAATATACAAGCAGCCAGTGGACCAATATCTAAACGTTCTGCCATTCTCCATCAAGTTCAAACGTCGACATGCTTTATTGATTAATCTTATAGCAGAACAGCTTTGAGAAATCTATACACGCGACTCCTGTGAAACTGCAGCAACCAGTTCTGCCATAATACAGTGACTTCACCAATTACAAAATTGATACTATTGTATTGTTTTATCGTTTGATTCAGTGAATCGATATACCCATGGCATGTGGGCCTATGGATGTTTCCCTTAGGAATTTAGCACGTTATATCTGATGTTCATACTTGTTAATTTTCGCAATTGAGTAAATAACGTTGAACACTAGATCTATCTACACACTGCAATTAGAACTGCTTGTAGGATATTCCGACAATACTGTCTGAACGGGGTAATTAAGACAAATTTTAATGAACTAGGTTTAAGTATTTCAAGAGGATTTTAAAGTTTGATAATACAGACATAGACCAATCTATGCAGGGGCGGAGGAAAGGGGGTCCTGGGACCCCCCAATTTTTTTTTAAAAAAAAAAATTTATTTTTTTTTTTCAATTTTTTGGCCTCAATTTTTTTTTTTTAAAATTTCCTAATCCAGCTCATTCAGTTGTTTGTGAAGTTGTATTATTTATCAATTATGAATGAAAGAATTTCATCAATCTTCAGGCTCAGTGATGAAGAAGTATTTCAAAATATTAGTAGTTTCTTTTATATATTTCTTGATTTTTTTGTGAAGTCTTTGTACATTAATTTATGTTCATTTGTTTTATTTCTTCATCACAAAGTACCAACTTTCCCCATTTTAATAGATAATATTTCAAAAAAAAATTTCGGAGGCACTGCCCCCGAGCCCCTGCCCCTTCAACTCTGGGACCCCCCTAGTTTGAAAGGCTAGCTCCGCCCCTGAATCTATGTAGTGTCAAATTGGCAGGTATGACTATGGTTATCTTTCAATATCTTAGTTTAGTAACCAAAAACGTTTTAAGTCTGAGCAACAGCAATTTCGACGGCCTCTAACACAACCCGGTACAATGACATCAATTTACGAAACAAAAAGGGAAATGCTTTTAAATCATTTCATATCCTAAATATCAAATATGAAAAATGAAGAATTAGAATAACCTCATATTCAATTTACGACAAATACAAATAGTTTGGTTTTGAGCCCTCTCTATGTAATCTTTTTGCACTCATATTCATTGCTTTAGTAATAAGCTTCTAGGTTTTTCTAACTCATTCTCCTCAATTGACTCTTGATATGAGAAGCGCTCACTACTAAAAGGTTCCAAAAGTTGCCATGAAACTCAGTAAAATCCAACATCCAATTTTTCTTAATAGCTCAATGGTAGAATCATCGTCATCCCCAATATTTAACATTGTTTCTCTCCATCCACATAAACCCCCCATAGCCGTAGTACGAATCAACGAGCAAAATGGACATATAAAAGAAGAAAGAAATGAATACAAGCCACTCAAAAATTAACCCATCTCAGAAGTACTAAGATACTTGATCCCAATCCATACAAATTCATACAGAATTAATAATGAAGTCTGAAAAAGAACCTATTACTTATCACGAGTCCATAAGGGTAGGCCATTCATCATCCTTAGTACTAGTCACCACTGAAACACTCCCTAACATAATTGCTGTGAGCATCAACTTGCCTGCATCTGGAAAATCCTTGTGCTGCATAAGGATAGTTTCCACAGAGGAATTCATGTCCTTCACATTCGAAAATTCTGAATTTTCCAGCCTGAGCAGCAGAACTTCATCAAATCTGCCTTCAAAAATTTCTGATTCCGGTCCATAACACTTACTAGAAGCCTGGAAAAGAACGGTATCCCTAAGAATGTGCAACATCTCCTCCTCACTCCACCCTTCGGTTAAAGACATTTGATAGAGCTTTTCCCAATCATCTTGATTTGCTGCATTCCTCCAGCAGTCTTCTAATAGGGTTGTATTATTTCTAAGAAATGAGGAGCTGGTCCAAGCAAAAAGATCGAAAGCTCGCAATGATAGCTCTCGATTTTGACTTTTAATGCACAATTCAATAAGGTCTACTGGAGGAAGAAGCTTTTGTTCGATTGATTGCTTTTCTTCACTATCAGGTACAAGTTTCAAAATTTCTTCCTGTAAATGAAGAAAATAATATGGCAAGTGGATATTTGGTGAAGAGATGTATAGTAAAGGGCATTGACCATAAAGTCAAAAACAAATATAACTGTATCAGTATAATTACACAAGCCACCATATCAAAGAGCCTTTTCTAAAATGAAGCAAAATTGTGAAGTGTCAGCACAATTTTAAAACTAAAAATGAACAGAAAAATCTTTTCGTAACAATTTTGAAGTGTCAGCACAATTGTAAAACTAAAAATGCACAGATAAGGATCTTTTCGTAGCACAATATTACAAACTAAGCTTTACTCCCTATAGAAACGTATACTTTTTTGCCATCCATTCGGTTCTGCTGTATATTCATATGAAGATCCAATGTAACTAGATCTGCCGCAATCATGACAAGCCCTATTAAATTTGGTGTCGCAGCGACACCAAATTGGAACCTATATTTTTATGTTGTCTTCTAATTTTTCAACTTAAGTTTTTTTGTTTGTGGTGAAGCTTACGCCTCAAAACGTTTTGAGGCTTAAACCTCGCCTCGTGACAAAAAAACGTTTCAGTACCCGTTTACGTTTTTTCAAACTATGGTGTCGCTCTCCCTTTATGATTTACTGAGAATATGAGATCACATCAGTCTTGTGAAAGAAGCTTCTTTACGTCTATGCAAACCGTTTCCCAAGCACTTAAAACTTGTCTAGTTTTTCCTCAATTGTTAACGCTTTGGGCACATATTCTAATCTTGTCTTATCCATTCTAACATGGTTGTTCATCCTATTTCTTCAAGTTAACTATGTCTCATGTACAATTTTTCTTTTTGCCCGTCCAAGGCACAGTACCATAACATAGTAGGTCTAATAATTATCATGTGGAACTGACAATTTAGCTATTTAGAGATCTTCCGGTCACATATAATTCCAGCAGCATTTTTCCATTTCATTTAATCAACTCTAACTCTATGCTTTACATCCTCTTCAATTATACCTCCATCAATAATTATCGAACTTAAAAACCTACAACAATCACAATTTGGGACAACATGATCCTCCATAATAGCTCTGTTATTATCCTTAATCCATCCAAGTTATTTGTTTTATTCTTCTATATGTTAGGGTCTAAAAGGACGGGATTCCAATCCCCATTAAGCCTGGGCTTTTGGGATCAATGGTTGGGTCCTTAACAATTGGTATCAGAGCACCCCCACATCAAGGGTTCGAATCTCGGAAGGGGCGACACAAGCAAAGTGCCGAATGCCAGTAGCTCGGATCTGGGCTGGCTGGTAAAGCGAAGGTTGTCTTGTAGTGGGCCGCCGTGGACGTCGGATCTTGGGCCGTGGGGTAATGTTAGGGTCTAAAGGGACGGGATTCCAATCCCCATTAAGCCTAGGCTTTTGGGATCAATGGTTGGGTCCTTAACACTATACCACCAAGTCATCCAATATAATTTTTATTGAAGATATAAATATTATTAAAACTATGAACAATGCAACAGTCACGAATCTAAGATGTAGTGCCTACACTAAAAAAGAATTTCTCAGACATGAAGCATGTTTTTGAAACTTTTTGAACTTGGATGGATGTAAATCCTCGTACAAATTCCATTTACTAATAACCAGTGGACTTGGGTAGAAGTGGACATCTTTTTGAAACTTTTTGAACTTGGATGGAAGTAATCCTCGCACAAATTCCATTTACTGATAACCAGTGGACTTGGCTAGAAGTGGCTGGCAATTTGTGTTGATGATTTAACACAAGCCATCAAAGTCTACATAGAGGCCAATTGCACAAATACCCAAAGAAAAGAGAATAAAAAATAAAAAGAGGGAGAGAATATCAGAATACTGTACAAGAGTGACAATGATAGACAAAAAATTGTAAAAATGCTACCCTTCAATGTGAAGTGATGGTCCCAGGTACCGTTCAAATTTATCTAGTCTGAAACTATTTGTAATAATTAGGTAGAATATTCAGCCAATCTGTAATGGATGTTAAATAGTACGGTTTATCAGCGAGTAAATGAAGCAACTCATGATATCAAGAATTTGTTCCCTTAATTGCCCTTCAAGAAAGATGAAGAAACTGGAATATCATTCATTAACTGCAGAGAAGGGAGCCCACCCAGGTACTTTGCTTATGCTGATATGGACCTTAAAATGGGTTGGTCATGATCTAGTCCATAAACATACCTGTAGTTTGAGAATATTCAGATCTGCTTGGATGCGCTTCACCTTTGTTTCATAATCAGCATTCTTTCCTGATGGACAAAATACTATCATCAATACTTCACGGGCGAACATGAAAAGAAAAGTATAATTTGTACAGAATGTTTAACAACAAAGAAAGCAATACCACAATCATCAATGCTACAGATGTAGTGTAAGACAGAAAACGACCAAATTGATGCAGAAACACCGAAATTACAGGAAAGAAAGGAAAACCTATGATAACACTAAGAAAATGTATTACAAGAATTTATTAACAATAAAACCTGTAGGCAAGAAGAAATCACAATAAACTATGGGGTCATGTTTTTACTGACCAGAGTGGGAAAATATTGTTATGATGACCTTTGACATGAATTATAAACATGAAGAAATATTTTCCAACAACTGAAAAGAGTAAAGCAGAAATTATGAATTGAACATAGACTTGATCCTCTAACATAAATTTATTTTTCTTATACTACAGGGTGGGGATCTAACGATTTCGCCCCTCTCACCCTCCTAAAGGAGACTCAAACCCTGGTTGTTGGCCTGGGAGGGGTTCACTTTTTACCACTTGAGCTAGGCCTAGGCCTACTTTCACATAATTTTAAGTACACTGTGCACTCGTGGATGTGTGCATATATGCAGGGATTTTCCAGGTGGAAACAGTACCCGCTATTGCTGATATTTTTGCAAGATTCAGAAAACGCCTTCTGTCTGCCAAGGTTAATCTACTCTTTGAGCCACCAGCATCAATTTCATCAGTATCTGAAACTGAGCTATCTTCCTTAGAAAGAGATAAGGCATGTAGAGTATCAGAAGCTGAGGAAAATTGGCGAAGAAACAATTCATGGAGCCAGAGAAGATTAGGATGATGCTTCAGAAAAGTAGCCAGATCTTCCTGAAACTCTTCCCCCAACCTCATAAGCTTCGAGAAATGTTTGCTTTCATAGAGTTGTTCAAATACAAAGTAACTAAACCCTCCTTTAGGTCCCACGCTCTCATGCTGCAAAAAAATAGTATTACATTACGGAGAATAGGATAAAAGAAATGAAAATTGATCAATTTGCATAAATATTGAAGGCCAAAATAAATAAATAAAAAACTGTCAATATGCACTGGATATTAATAATAAGACTACCAATGGAACCACCACCACCACCAGTACCAAGTCTTTACCTCCGAGGGGGTGGGATGGTGGTCACAGGAGATTGGAATTAGATGATAAAAATTATACCATAAGACTTTGAACGAGTTCGGAATCGTTGAGGTCACTGCATATGCTCCACATAGTTTGATATCCTTCATGTCGTTTGGCAATAGACAATACTCTTGCAGAAAGTTTTCTGAGAATGTTCTTATTCTGCAATTCATTGGATTCAATGGAATCCTGCAATGCAGATAGAAAAATGAATAATTATTTTCTTTTATGGTTCATATTCCAGATTGGGTTCATCCCTGTAGTGATCGGGTGAATTTAGTTGTAGACATGAAAGCGTAAGAACTCAACGGGATTACCTTCTCTATTTGTCTGGTTCAAGGGGAAAAGTATGTAAGTAAGATATGAAATCCTCCATTCAGAATAAGTATCTTATGCTCAAAAAATATTGGGATCGCTATACCAATCTTTATTAGAGATGAAGTTGACATAACAACAGCATATTAGTACGAAAACCACACAAAAAAAAAAACCCCTGTTATTCTGCTGCTTTTATTGTAATGCTTATACTATAATTCCTAAACAGGATGTGAGATACCCTGTTATTCTGCTGCTTTTATTGTAATGCTTATACTATAATTCCTAAACAGGATGTTATTCTCATTTTTGGACAATAAGCACTGTTTAGAAAGGCCAAATCAGGTATCAGAGGTAATCTGTGCAAGAAGTCACAAGGCACTTGTATAAGCCTCCACATAAACCAATAACATAATTCACAATATAATAATCATAAAAAAACCATAAACCATACAAAAATCCAATAATGAAACCAGAAACATTTCAATAAAATTAAAAGTATAATTAACAACTAGAAATATACATGCATCAATAAAATAGCCAAAAATAAATTAACAAAGTAGTATCCTGTTAGCAGGATCATATTTTAAGATCTGATCGCATTTTGGAATCTGATGAGATTCATAGAATTTGTTTGATCAATAATTGTGTATATTGAACTCACGTGTATGGAGCCTCTCCTCCCGAAATCCAAAAACACCCTACCACCACTCACCCAGCCACCCAACACCCATCCACTCTGGTCGACGTTGGTGCCGGCAAGACATCAGGAAACCCTAACCCTACCGGCCTCACGCCATATATTATCCTAAACTCTGATGGACAGGAAGGTCCGAAATCTGGGACAAAAACCCGCCTGTCCGAAATCTGGGACAAAAACCCAGATGCACCAATTTCGTGCTGCAGGTCCGACAGACGCGCCTGACCGGCAGTCTGTGCAGTATCAGAAATTTCAGCATGACTCTCCCAGTGTCATCAGCAGGCCTATTTTGTCGTCAGACTTGCCGTTTCTTCATAATCAAAGGAACAAGCGAGTGGATGCATATGGTATGGTATTTAATCAGCGTTTTAGAGGTGAGACGAAGAAGTTTGAGGTGTCTGTTCATGAATCGAGCATTGTTAGGATAATCGAGTGGGGCTCGAGGATGTCAACCGCTATCTACATGGGGAGGTATGGTGCACTATGGATGGTAAATATGGTGGATAAGTTGAGAGCGGCTAGTAAGTCGGAGGGTTTTCTATCCAAATTTATCGAGTCACCACGGGCTTTTTTGGCTCAACGTTGTGCGAACAGTCAAAGCTGGTACTTGACGATAGCTCAGTATGGAGAGAGGCGTCGGACGGGAGCTGTGATGGTTTCGGAAAGTGTGGATGGAGAGGGATGGGCAACATTTTCGTGGGTGTTTAAGGCTGTTGTCGATTCATTTGTTGCGAGAGATAAGGCTAAACGTCGAACAATGGATGAAAGAAATAGACAAGGAATGACTTATGCCGAAGTGATGGCAAATTCACGTAAAGTTGATCAACGGGAGCTAATGAGTAATGACAGGATGTCTAAGGTGAGAGAATATAGTGATCATCTTTCGATACCTAAGCCTACGGGGAGATATGCAGAAGGTTCACATGGTGGCATATTGACCAGTGCTGAAATAGGGGCTCGTGACCAGGCGTTGAAAGACGAGTTGGATGATTTAATCAGGCTAGTGGGATGTGGGTGTGAGGGGAGTCCCAAGATATTCTACTGTCATAAGTGTGGGGTTAGTGCAGATGAGCCCCTAGCTAACGACAATCAAATAGTGAGCTTGGTTCCTAAGAAGGTATCACCGATTGTAGCACATATTAAAGACAAGCAAGGGGCGACTAAGACTAGTTGCACATATCAAGCACGGTCTGAAGTAGTATATTCTGGAAATGACGACGGGACCAAAGTGGTGGAGTTGATACAGATGAGAAAGCTTTGGGATCCGCAGCAAAGAGGAAGGAAACAGTATTGAAAGAGCACAATGAGGCACGGGCGGCAGTTATGGTTGGGAACACATATAACAAAAGGCATGTTAAGTCCCTAAAAGAAATAGAATTAGGGACTGAAAAAGTTTTGATGTTGTGGATTAATGGCGACCAGGAGGGGGATCGACGAGGAGGTTGTCCATGCGGAGGAAAAGGAGGGATTTTCGTACGACCCTTTGGAGTGTTGTCATGTAAAGGAAACAACGAAGGTGAATACAATTGAAGCTGGACCCCAACCTTCAAATTGGGTCCTTAAAAAAATGCAGGATTTCAGCTAGTTGGTGTGTCCTGCGATGGATATGAAAGTAAACTAATGCAATTATTTGAGGAGTTGGAGGCTAGTAGGGGCAGGAGATGAGTACACAAGGAGGCAAAGATAGAAGGAAGGGCGTCCACGAGCTTAAGCGGCTCGAACGATCAGTCAATTACGATGCTAAGGGTGGCGAGGCGAGGAAAGCTGGGAAGGAATGGCGGAGCGTTAAAATGACTCATAAACTTATTAGCTGGAATGTAAAGGGGCTTAATGAGGCTGGGAAAGGTTAGGTATCCGAAATTTATTAAGGGGATGGAGGGCGGAACTTGTTTGCTTGCAAGAAACTAAGTTGGAGTTTGTCTCAAGGGTTGTAGTTAGTAGCTTATGGGGGGACAACATGTAGGATTTTAGTTTTTGGGGTCATCAGGGGCATCAGGAGGAATGCTTATCATGTGGGACACCAGAATTTTTGATATGGAGCATGATAGTGTACGGTCATACTCGCATACGCTCTCGTTTAGGAATATTGGGGATGGATTCCAGTTGATGTTTAAAGGAGTTCATGGTCCTAATACAGAAAAGAGTAAAGG